GTCCACCATATTGGATCAGTCCATGTGCAGCAAATGGACTGATCCAATATGGTGGACAGCAGGTGATTACCTGTTCTCTTGTGGTTCTGCATGTGGATTAAGAAACTGGAAACCAGCAGAGTTTTGGTTCTTTAACCAATTTAATAAATGTGCTGGTATTGAGTTTTTACCTCATGTCCACTGCCCTGCAATCACACCTCACGACACAATCAGACCAATCAGATGCTTAGTTTAATGAAGTATCAGCCAATCAGGATCCGCCATCTATTAAGGTCAGTAGGGGAAGAATCTTTTAGAGCTCAGTGTGAAAAAGAGTTTATGAGGTTTTTACATTTGATCACTGCTGGACTTTATTGATGGAAATCTTCCTTTACTGCCTGGAAGATGAACCAAACAATAAAGTCTAAGAATGATATCTGATTTCTTAAAGCGTTTCCTGCTGCAGCGGGTAAGAGATGTATGAAAGTCGCACGGTGAGGACGGATGTAAAGGGGACGTTGGACCGGTCCATTCCAGGATACGGGGGGAGCAGGAGCTGATGTCCATATTTTCCTCATTGCTTGGATGTTAAATCATAATTATTTCATTTCAAACTTGCAGAGCTATCGCAAGCTTCTGTTAGCCATGTGGCCAACCAACGGGGCCCCTGGTGATTAGGGCCCCAGGCGGATGATGCACCTGCAGTTCACCTACCTGCAGCCAGGGGTGCTGCAGAGCTTCATCCACAGTCATCCTTTTGGTGGGATCCACCACCAGCAGCTTCCTCACCACATCTTTGGCTGAAACACCAGCAGACATCATCTTAGCAACGCTATGACGGAGTGACGGGAACCCACCGTTACCGTGGTTACCCTGGTTGGAGACACGACTCCACTTGGACGGGATCATGGTGAACTCTCCTCTGATGATCTGCTCCATGACCGAGTGCTCGCTGAACCTCTCTTGGAACGGAGCGTAGCCGCTCAGGCTGCCAGAGACACGCTGGTTAGAATCCGGCGCCTGGCCCGCCGCAGCGGCAGAGGGGGCGGAGCCTACCAGACAAACAGCAGGACGCCCAGGCTCCAGGCGTCCACGGCCAGCCCGTAACCCGTGGTGGAAGCGTGGGTGAAGACCTCAGGGGCCAGGTAGGACGGAGTCCCACACAGAGTCCTCATGAGGGCCGCCTCCTCCAGGATCCTGGACTGGCTGAAGTCCGTCACCTGACACAGGGGGGCGGAGTCAGAAGCATGAAGAGCTGAGGCTGGGAGGAAGAGGACGGGGGGGCTCACCTTAATGAGACACTCGTCCTCTTTGGAGGACAGGAGGACGTTCTCTGGCTTCAGGTCTCTGTGGATGATGCCGTTTCTATGGAGATACTACAAACACACAGTTACCTGGGCGTCACCCGCTGGTTACCGTGGCGATGGGAGCAGCGCTCACCTGCACGGCACAAAGCATCTGATAGAAGTAGAGTTTAGCGACGTCCTCCTTTAGCTGCTGCTGAGACTTCACCTTCTGGAAGAGCTCTCCTCCCTCCATCCTGAGGACATAGGGGGCGGAGCCACGGCGGGAGGGGATGGGGGCGGAGCCACGGCGGGAGGGGATGGGGGCGGAGCCACGGCAGTCAGAGGATGAAGGAACACCAAGGTGAAATGTTCAGCTTCTACTTACAGCTCCAGAAAGATGTAGTAATTGTCCTCTGACTGATAGAAGTCCTTCACCTTTATGAGACACGGCTGCAGAGGACACAGGGGACAGAAGACATAGGGGGACAGTGGACACAGGGAAAGAGGGACCGAGTGAACAGAGGGACACGTTGATGAATGAGGATGATGATGCTTTTTTCTCGCCGAGCTTCACTCACATGATCGACTCTCTTCAGGATCTCGATCTCTGTCTCTGCAGTCCTGGTCGCCGTCTGTGATTGGACAGGAGACGGGTCAGATGACCAGCGCTGTTTGGGGAAGCGGTGGCAGCCAATCAGAGAGCAGACCTACCCGCTCAGACCGGAAATTTGCCATGCTGATAATTTTGACGGCGAGTTCGCTGCAGGTGGAGCGTTCAAAGGCCAGACGCACCTCGCCGCAGACTCCTCTGGAACGCAAAGCATGATGGGATATGACACTCCGTGACAGGATGTGATCAGCATCCCGTGGCGCCGTCTACGGCAGCCCAGAGGGTCAGATCAAAAACATCCAGAGAGCAACAGAACCAAACTGAAGATTCACCACTTGGACGACATTATCAGAGATTTGGCCTCTTAGGGGAGGCGGCGGCCTGGGGATAGAGCGTATAGAGACCCGGAACCAGAGACCCGGAACCAGAGACCCGGAACCAGAGACCTGGAACCAGAGACCCGGAACCAGAGACCCGGAACCAGAGACCCGGAACCAGAGACCTGGAACCAGAGACCTGGAACCAGAGACCCGGAACCAGAGACCCGGAACCAGAGANCCCAGAACCAGGTCAGAACTAGCTTTGAATCAGTTTAGAACCAGTTTAGACCCAGTCTTCAACCAGGCAGCCTTCCCACCTGCATCAGCTCGCACACGGCGAGCAGGTCGGCCACAGTGATGTCATCGCCGCAGAGGAAGGGCTGCCGCTTCAGGAACATGGACTCCAGCTTGTCCAGCGTTGCGTCCAGCTCTGACAGCGCCCGGCGCAGACGGTTCTGGTCCACTGGGCTGCCGGTCTGGGCGGGGAGCAGAACCTGTGGGCAGAGTGCGGTGTAAGGGGGAGGGGTCTGCAGAGGCAGGGTCAGAGGCGCCGGTTTACCTCCAGGATGAAGACTTTGGCGGCGTGCGGTCTGGTGTTGGTGTGGTGCCAGGCCGTGTACTCGTCCACGCGAGCTCTGTGCTCCGGTTGCCGTGGATACCAGTGTTCAGGGACGTCGTACTTGGTGGCCAGGTACTTCAGGATGGCGTCACTGTGACACAGCAGCTTAAGGTTAGCTTCCTGCACGCCGTCCAGCAGCCAGGAGCGGTTCTAGCTGGGGGCCAATAGGGGCCCTGGAGAACCGCCGAGGGCCCCGTTAGGGCCCCTGTGCTGCAGCATTGATCTGAGCAGGTAGGTCGTTCATTGATGGAATCAGATGAATTCAAATACGATAAATCGTGGATTAGATGTAATTTTGTTGATTTCAGGAAAAAAATCTGTTGAAGGGAAACTTTACTGAATTTTAAACTTTAGATCAGTTTCTGCTGTAACCCAGTCTAACCAGCCTAGATCTAGCCTAAAGTGATTAGGATCTGAGGTCCAGCTCAATGCATCGGCAGATTATTGATGTAAGATCAATAATCTGGATTAGTGGATCTTCAGGGTCAAAGGTCACCTCTCTGTGAGGACGAAGCCGTTGTCCACCATGACAGGAACCTTCTGCATCGGGTTCAGTTTGGAGAAATCAGCCGTTCGGTTTTCTCCTGAAAACACAACAGTCCTGCAAGGTCACCTTCAGGAAGGACAGACGACCCCACCTCCTTCACCACCTCCTCCTTCACCACCTCCTTCACCACCTCC